AGAAGGCATCTCTGCATGCATGTAACACGATTGGACATGAAGGAAGGCGCCATTGGACTTGGCGAAAGTGTACAAAAATGAAAGGTGTCGCCATCCCCTTTAGCAAATAAGACGTGGCATAGGTTGCAGAGCAGGCGCAGGCTAGGTGACAGTCTTGGAGAAGGCATCCCTGAATGCATGTAACACTATTGGACATGATGGGAGGAGCCTTAGAGGTTACAGTGTAGGTGCAGAGTAGGCGCAAGCAAGGTGGCAGCCTTGGAGAAGGCATCTCTGCATGTATGTAACACGATTGGACATGAAGGGAGGCGCCATTGGACTTGGTGAAAGAGTACAAAAATGAAAGGTGTCGCCATCCCCTTTGGCGAATAAGAGGTGGCATGGGTTGCAGAGTAGGCGCAGGCTAGGTGACAGCCTTGGAGAAGGCATCCCTGAATGCATGTAACACTATTGGACGTGATGGTAGGAGCCTTAGAGGTTACAATGTAGGTGCATGCTATGTGGCAGCCTTGGAGAAGGTATCCCTGAATGCATGTAACACTATTGGACGTGATGGAAGGAGCCTTAGAGGTTACACCCTTGGTTAATTCAAATTCAGTATGACCTATTTAGTCTTACATTTATCAAAACACTAATTCACTTAATCTCTCAAACACTAGAACATTCAAAAATTCCTGCAAATAACTCATAAACTTCAAACCTTCCAACCTTCAAACAGTCATACACAATGGCCTCTGCACCCCAATATGTCATCAGTGCATATTTCAACGGTGATACATACATTTGTCCCACCTCTGGGTTTTTGTTTAGAGACACAGACAACATTCGATTTTGTTTAAACAGGAAAGCCAATTTCTTGTACTTTAAAAAACGATTGGAGGCCAAACTTGGACGAGGCCCGGTGACACAAATATTTTATTAGAATCCAGTTTTTTTTTTAACAACCAAATAATATTTTATAAGTTTTAGGTTCAAGATGACGAGGCTCTTCAGAATATGTTTTCCAGTCATGAGTATTCTGGGTACGACTCTATTGAGTTGTACATTATGCTGCGAGAGCCTCAGGTGACACAAGTGGTTGATCCTTTGGAGACCGAACAAGCTGAAGTAGATGCAGTTGATGAAGAAGAAGAAGATGACGAGTTAGAGTTTGACGATATGGTCAATGATGATTCCGAAGACGATAGGATACCTGGTATTCCTGCAAACGAGATCTACGCACCACCTCCGCACATGACAAACTTCAACATGGGCGGAGATAAACCGTCTTTTGACTTATTTTTCAAGCCGTATATGCAGTCGGATGAAAACTTAAAAGAGAAAGACAAATTTCGTAACAGAGAAGAATGTATCAGAGCCATCAAAAAATTCCACATGCTCAACTCGGTCGATTTTAAGGTGGAACGTGTAAATCCAGAAAGGTACAAGATCAAGTGTGTCCACCCTGATTGTATGTTCAAGCTCACTGCATCATAAAGATTAAGAGTCCAAGATAGATTGTTGGAGGAATGCACGTTTTGTAAGAGTCCAAGATATCAAGTCGCAGTAGAGCCATTAACAACAAGCAAAAGCGTGTAGCAGTAAAGTTCATGTTTTATCTTCTTATAATATCAAGGTTAAAAAGAATGTTTACTTCAATGCACAGTGCAAGTCAAATGACATGGAATCACACAAACCAAACAAGTTCAGGAACTATGCGACATCCATCTGATGGCGAGGAATGGAAGCACTTTGATCGGACACATCATGATTTTTCTGCAAAACCTAAAAATTTCAGGCTTGGATTATGCTCTGATGGTTTTTCCCCATATGTGCAAACGTCGGGAAGTGCGTATTATTTTTTCCTAGTTATTGTAACCCCTTACAACCTCCCTTCTGAGATGTGCATGACAAAACCATACATGTTTTTGACGTGCGTCATTCCAGGGTCGTCCAGTCCAAAAGCAGGAATCGATGTGTACTTACAACCTTTAATTGATGATTTGAAGAGGTTGTGGATTGGATAATAGACTTATGATATATCTCGTAAACAAAACTTTACTTTGCGAGATGCCTTGATGTGGACCATTAATGACTTTCCAGCATATGGCATGTTGTCTGGTTGGGGTACGCATGGTACAAAATGGGTTGTCTGGTTGTCTGTGTTCTTCTTCACGTGGCAAATAAAGTGTTTTTTCTGACTTTCCTCCTGCAGCACCTGCTTCTTCTGCAAAGCATGAATTTCTATACAAGTATGTTGCGACGTGATTAATATTATTGACCATTTTGAAAAGGAAGAGAATTATGAAAGTTAAGAGTAAGAATATATGGAGTCACGGATAATTTAAACTAGGTAAAATATTCTAAAATTATAATTAATAAAAATAAAAGAATATATATTGTTAAACCAAAATTAAAGGAGGATTGAATTGATCAATTGTAAAAATTTCAGCAAGCTGACTTTTAGTGTCAACGTATTTAAAAACAACATCCCCTTTTTCAACATAAACTCTAAGAAAATGATGCTTGATCTCAATGTGTTTAGTTCTTGAATGAAGTACCAGATTATTAGTGAGTATAATCCCACTAGTACTATCACACTTAATCAGAATATAACCATGTTTTAAATCATAATCTAGCAATTGTTGTTTTAGCCATAAAACTTGTGCACAACAACTACCAGCAGCTACGTATTCAGCCTCGGCGGTAGAAAGATTAACGTTATGCTACTTTTTACTATGCCAAAAAACTAACCAACTTCCAAATAAGTGATAGGTACCACTAGTACTTCTTCTATTTGAATTTCACTTTGTGAAATCATAACTTGAATAACCTATTAAGCTACAAGCACTACCATTAGGATACCAAAGACCGTGTTTTGAAGTTTTGTTAAGATACCTCAAAATATGTTTTACGATCTTAAAATGTGATTATTTTGGTAATGCTTGATATCTTTCATATACAAATGCTAAATATGATATATGGTAATGTCGAAGTCCACTCCTCGTTCGTCTTTGTCAATAAGCACATTAGATGCTATGAGTGTTAAGATACTCCTTGAGTCCTTCATATTGAACTTCTTCAAAAGCTCTAAACAATATTTTGTTTGACTTATAAAGGTGTCTTCTTTGGCTTGCTTGATTTGCAATCTCGAGAAATAATTCAATATTCCCATAAGAGACATCTGAATATCTCCAATGTTAAACTAGCAAATTCTCGACAAAGAAACTCATCAGTAGAATCGAATATGATATCATCTACATATATTAGAACTAAAAGAATATGATTTGCTTTACATCTAATTAACAAAGTTGTGTCAAATTTGAAGGATAGAAAAACACAAGAAATGGGGTTTTCAAAACTAAAAACAGTATGACACGTTTGGTTATCCTGGTTTGTTTGAACTCAAACTACTCTAGTCCACCCGCCAAGGTGATTTCGCCTCCCTCAATCGAGGTCTTAATCTACTAATCAAAATTTTGATTACAACACACAAAGACTACCGCCAATTCCTTATTGAGACTAAACTACAACTTGGTTCCTCAAGGAATAACAAAAATGTGAATCAAAATGTGTACAAGAATGTTTCTAGAAAACTATATCACAATTGTGATGTTTACACATTGTGAAAGCACAATGAATAGATCTAAAGAGCTTATGAATATATCTTTGTATGTGCAAGTGTTATTTGATCAGTCTTCAAGAACTCCTTTATATATGTGAAGCTCTAGATCCATTTGAGACATGAGAAGATGTTTTTTGGAAGGTTGATAAAATATTGTTAATGCACTTTCTAAAAATATAGATCTTGTCATGTACCAATCGTTACTCTTTGATTTGTAATGAATGAATTGTAATGCATCAGAACTTTGCTTCTTTGAAATTTGATCAGAATAAGAATATTAACATTGAGACTTTAGATCATCAGAGTATTGTTTCATCAGATTTTTAGCTTTCAGCTTTGATGCTTCAAAAGTTATAACATCAGAACTTCTTCTATTGAGCGTGATACCTTAATTGTGTTTGTACAGAAATTCTTATTAGATCTTCTTATCGCAAATTGTTCGCCAACTTCTTATGCTTCTTTTATCAGAACTTCTCTACATATAATTTATTAGAGATCATAATTGTTCTTTTATATATAATATATATTTGTTATCATCAAAACTATTTCTAAGATGTAAAACCAAACTATGTTCTAACAATCTCTCATTTTTGATGATGACAAAAACTTGTATATTTTGATGAACAAGTAAGAACATAAAATATTAAGGTCTCTCCCTGAATTGGATACTCAAATAAAGAAAAAATTAGATACTTTTTTAAAGATGTTTGTTACAAATATTGAGGGTCCAAATAAAACTAGACCCAGTGCAATAGAAAACTATACAACTCAAATGCATGATATAGAACATCTTAATTAAACATAGATCTTATTTCATAATTGAGAGAACTCAATCAAACACCACTTGCACAATCTGCATCAAATTAGCATCGGGGCACTAAACGGAGTTGCAAAAAAAGTTACATGTGTGAGATGAAGAGCACAAGACTAGTGTGTGAGAAATTGCTAATGAAAAGACGATAACGAATTGCAACATCTCAAATTCACTTGAAACCATTTCAAGCTATTTTCCATTTGAGACTATAAAACAAACTTTTTAGGTTTTTATACACAATTACGTAATAATCTAAAAATCAATTTTTTTCGAACTGAAACGAAGAAGCACTTAATCATCTTGCCCTGTTAATATTTTCATATTGAAAATGAACTAATAAACTTATCTGTTAATCTTATCGCAAAATGCCCTGAGCGTCTAATATATAAGTTCATATTAGTATTTTTAATACGATATTAAAATTCAAATAATAAAACTTAATATTTGTATAAAATGAAATTTGTAATAGTAGATATAAAAACAGAATTTAAAAATGTTAAACCAACTATAAGAAGATAATATCTTAAGACATAAATAAAAGTTTTATTCATACATAATGATTGCATCACGATGCTAATTTACTCATAATCCAATTGGAGGTATAACAGTAGTAGTAATATCATCTAAAGATGATGCATCAATACACCAACATCGCCCGTGATTACATTGCCCTTTTTTTCCAGGACATCCAGGTTGACAATCACTATCTGATTTACATGCTCCATCAAGTTCTCTTCCTTCTGATTTCTTACACAGATCTGCGTGCAAACAATTCATTGAAACTCAAGAATAATAATGTATGTAAAAAGTGAATGAGTCAAAATTTAAATTTGTTTAAAGCTAAACATTGCTACAAAAAGTACAAACAATTTTTTCAATTTTATCATTAGTTTCAAACCTGATGTAAATATGCAGAAAGCCAACAGGTATATCATTATGAAAGCATAAATCCTTGTAGAATCCATCTTTCACATATAACATATTATATTCTACATATATCTATGGTTTATATAGGCATATGGAGATAATTTATCTTTACCTTATTAATTTTTTAAATTTGATTTATTGAATTCAAAAACAACTTTTTAAATTCTAGAATATTAAAATATAGATTTTTGTTGACCAATATAAAAAATATACCTTTAAAACAAACTGTAAATTTATATTCAACTTAAAGGATAAATAAATAATTAATTAATTAATATTTAAATATAAATATATAACAGATTTAATTTAATTTTTTCTAAAAATATATAACTCTTTTAAAATATTAAGAAATGATAAAGAACATTTATTAGGGAGGGTTGCTCAAATTCTTTTTGTTAGAGTAACTCCAATGGGAGTTTTTTTTTCAAGTTCTCTACACTATAGTAATGTTTTTCAAAAGCAAATGTCATTAGAGTTGTCCAAGTTGGATAACCGTTGTATTCTAATATAACGTTGCTTCACATTAAATAACAATAAACATAATAAATGTTAGTTTTTATAGGATTTATTTCATTTTTTAAATTTTTTTATTTTTTTTTATATTACTTTAATAATTATTTGGGAACATTTTGGACATGAAAATGATTAAATTTAAGTTTGATTAATTTATGTCATGATATTTATTTTTATTGTTTTTAATTATAGGACATATATTTGAAATTAATTTTAATTATCATTTTAAATTATAAGTTTACTTTGAATTTTATTTATTTTATATCAATTTTAATTTAAATAATTAAAATTATTATTTTAAATGATATAAAATTTAATATAAATAAAATATTGATATATAAAGTAAAGTTGTGAGATCTAATATGAATTCTTTAGAATTGCACTATTGGAGTGAAAAACTAATTGAGTTATTTCAAACTAATGTGGCTTAATGAGTCCCGCAAAGAACCCAAAAGTGAGTTTACGGTTGGAGATGCTCTTAGATGAATAATAGATTGTTGACCCGTGTCTTACACAAATATTTTAAAATTAAAAATTATAATACTTATTAAAACTAATATTTAGTTTATTATTAACACATGAAACTATATTATTAGAGTTAACTTATAACAATTTCATCTAGATATTTTATACTAATATTATTTTCTTATATAATTTTATCTTTTAGTTAATATAAAATTCAAATCATTCTTAATTTAGTTAATATAATGACACTAAAATTTAAAACTAATTTTAAGAATTTTTTTGATAAAAGTTTCTAAAATTGTATGTTTTTTATTTTGTTTTAAAACTTATATTTAGGATTTTATAATTGAAATGTAAATATAAAAATCTAAATTTACATTTTTTATAAATTTTAAATGTTTTACTTTAAGATTTTTGTCTTAATTGAAAATAAAAAGATTGCCTAGGTTGATCTAATAGTTAATTATTTATTAATTATTAATAAAAATATTTAATTTCGAACTTTTTCTATTTTATTAATATTAAATGTTTCTAAATATTATTTTTCATATATTTCTTATTTTAATTTCAACAATCTTTTGACTATTATTTTATGTATTTTCTATCTATCACCATCCATTTATCCATTACATTAATACTAAATTTTAATTAACATTATAAATTTTCATCAGTTAACATTATAAATTTATATTAAATTCAAAAACCAAAATATTAAAAGGTAAATTAATTATTTAAAATATTTGTAACAGTTAAATTAAATTTGTAACTATTGAATTAATAAAAATATTATTGTCATTAAGAAATCAATTAATTAAGAAATTTATAACTATAAATTTAATAATTATCATCTGAAACCAAACTCATTCATATCTTTATATAATTTTTTTTCTTCAAATTCTTCACCTAATTTATATTTTCTTAATTTGTAAAGAGATCAAATAATAATAATAATAATAACAATAAAAAATATTAATAATAATAATATAGAGCCATATCAATAAAAACTTAAAATAAATAATAATAATAATAATAATAATAATAATAATAATAATAATAATAATAATAATAATAATAATAATAATAATAATAATAATAATAATAATAATAATAATAATAAGAATTTAATTATACAAAATCATTTTAACAATCAAGTTAATTTGTATTAGAGAAGAAATGAAAAAAGCATAAATAAGATTTTAATATATACTTTTAAATTTAATATATATATATATATATATATAAACAAAATATTTTAATACGCGAAAATTTATTTTTAATTTTTATAATTAACTATTTTTTATCTATTTTTAATTATTGAGTTGAAATTCTTTATTACTAATTATTATTTTTATTTACTTCATGTAAGTTACAAAATTACAAGATTATTAGAATATTAATTTCGTTACCATTACCTAATAAAATAATTATAAGAAACTTTTTAAAATTTAATAAATTTAATCTTATAGTTTAGTATTAAAAAAATTTAAATGTAACTCCCAAATATTTCCTTCTATAAAAACGGGTATCTTTGTAATTAATTTTTTATAATTTATATCATAATTAATATATTTGTGAGAAAATAATATGATTAATTATTGACCATTTTAAAAAGGAAGAGAGTTATAAAAGTTAAGAGTAAGAACATATAGAGTCACAGATAAAATAATTTCTACTAGGTAAAATATTCTAAAATAAAATTAATAAAAATAAGAGAATATATAGAGTTAAACAAAAATTAAAAGAGGATTGAATTGATCAAAGTTTATATTGACTAAAAAATAACAAATAAAAGAATGAACAATTTTAAAAAATTATTTCAAATTAACTATTTAATTAAATAAGTTAAACTATAAACTAGATAATATATTAGTATAAATATTTTTAAATGTCATGTATGACAAACTAATTTTATTGTTATCTTTTTTTATAGTAAAATAATAATTTCATTTCTTTGATAAAATTTATTAAATTAAAATATTTAATTATGACCATTATTATTTAATTCTTATTGACATTATTTAAGGTAGAGTTTACTCTACATTATATTGTTATTTTAATTCATATTTATGGATGAATTTTTATTAATTTTATAATGATATTTAAGAGTGATAGAGTGAGTCACCAATTTTTATCAGTTTATAAGTTTATTTTGTCTCACTAAACTCTATGTCTTCTTATATTTTCTTTTTCATTTTCATAATTTTCTACTTTTCGTTAGATTTTTTATTTATTTTAATAATATTCCATTATGTACAGATTTTGAAGATATATTTGATATTTTTATTGAATGATTGATCATAATGTTTGATTTTATAAAATATTATGTGTAGGTATTGAAGATATATTTGAGAATTTTATTAAAAAAATTGATTCTTATGTGAGAATTTTTTTATGTTCTATATTTATTATTTATCTTCTTACAATTGATATCGTAATTTTGAATTACTATTTTGAGATGGATTGCACTATAGAAATAAGTTTGACAATTTAAACCGTGTATATGAATAACAATATAAACTACAATATTATAAAAAATATTTCTTTTTTATATTTTATGATTATTTGGATACAATTAATTTTATTATCTAATTTCTTAAAATAAATTTGTGTCATTCCTAAAAATAATTAAATATTTTTTGTGATAACTAAGTTATACTTTATTATGTTTATATTTAAAATAGATTGAGATTCATCAATTGTTACTTATCAAATAAATTTTGCAATAAATTATATATATATATATATATATATATAAGAGAAAAAAATATAAAAGAAAAAACATCAATTATTTTGTGGAGTAATCTAAATTTCATACAATAATGTGCATAAAATGATATCTTCTATCTTTCTTCAAATTAATAATATAATAAAATGATATCCGCTTTTTGTACTATTTACTTTGGTTTAATCTAATCTTATGATATAATAAGATAAATATAAATTTGTAAAACAAATTAAAACAAAAATATTTTTTAATGAATTATTGATTATTTATTAGGGTGAAAATAAAATAATGTCAAATTAAATATAATATTATATTAGTAAAATGAGAATATATTCTAATAAAATAGTAAATTTAGAATTTATTAATTTATAATTTTTTATAAATATAATACTCGAAAAAGAGTAATATTTTATTTTTAAAAAAAGTTAAAAATAAAAAATAAAGGAAATCAAAGATAGTGTGATTGGAAGAATTTTTTTTTAAAACTTTGCATTAATATAATGACTGAGTTAAAGAATATAAAAAGTTTTAGTTCAAAGGTTGGTATGGTGAGAAAAACATATTTTAAAAAATATAAAAATAATTGTTGATAAAAAGTGTAACTAATCTTTTTTATTAATTAAAATTTATTATTAATATAATAAGTAATTGAATCTCACATATAAAATAGAATTCTAAATTTTACGATTTCTTATAAATAAAGGTCTAGAGAATATGTCAATGTAAGTAGAAATAATATAAATATATGTAATTTAATCTCACATATTATTGATAAAAAAAATATTTTTCTAATTTATTGTCTTTCACATTAAAAAATTAATAATTATAAATATAATCTAAAAACCTACAAAATAATTTTACATGCAAGTAAAAATTAAATATTAACTATTATAAAAAATATAATATTATTTCTAGTTATTTGTTAATGCTAGAATTCTGAGCATAGAATAGTTATTAGTGGTTTGTGTGATAGCTAGTGACTGATTGTGTGTAATTTCTGCCTGGATCCCTGAGGATCGGCCGGTTGTAATAGATTTTTGGTAATATAATATCTTTATTTTAAAATAAAGTCATTTTATTAAATTATAATTATCTTTTTTGACTACTAAGTTTAACATTTAATTTAATTTCAAAGTCATTTTATTAAAATTTAATTTTAATTTTTGGTTGACTGCTTATTATTGTCAATAATTACCATTAAAATATCTATTTATTTGTAAGTTGGCAATAAAACTTGAATGAGATAGTAGTAAAGTAATATAAAAATATTTACTAATAGAAAATTTTTATTTAAAAATCAATGTAATAAGATATAATTATATCTGTAGATAATTA